AGCAGAAGCAACGCAGCGAACTACCGCGAACAAAAACAGGAGTTGAAGCAGATTCGCGGAGAATCTGCCCACTCGCTTGCCACTCTCACCTCCGTTTCCAGTCAAAGCCAAACACACACACACACAAACCTCTTGAAGCGCCTCTGCAAATGTGGGTGCATCCTCCAAATCTGCCACTGAGAGACCAGTGAACGCCTGGCAGTCCTCCGAAAGTTGCCGAAAGGGCGACTCGCATTCCGTTGAGATGTCCATAGAAGTGGCGTTGGCGGCGGCACCCGAGGAAGAATTCTTGACTGATGTTTCTCCAACTGGCGGCCAGTAGCCGTCCTCTGACGGATCATCGGTGAGGTCAGGGTAGTCTTCGGATACCTCGCGGGAAATTCGATTGCGTCGAAGCCTTACAAGCACCTGAAACTCCGGCCCGGAAAGCTGATTTGGCAGGGAATGAGGGAGGAGAAAGAAACGAAGTCAGTGTCAATTTGGCAACCCTTAGATTCATACATCTACCAAAATTGCAGAGGTCAGTGCTCAAATGTGAACAACTTTTCTTTATTTTTTAGATCAGAATTACCTCATTTTGGTTTTTCAATAAATTGGTGCGGTTTCCGATTATTCAAATTTATAGCATATTGCATTTTGTTGGATGCATTCGAATTATGTGTCAATTTGGTTCCCTATCCAAGGACTTTCACAATCCGCCTACATTTTTGACTTCAGATTATTTAGATGCAACGCTAGGTCTAAAAAAGTGAACATTTATAGCGTTTTCATTTATCTGAGTTTCATAGAAGAATCCAGACAGTGGAAGCCATCAGAATCTATTGGGTTGGTTAGGAAGGCAATTCTATTTTTGAAAACAGCGCAGAAAAGGTGTGTTTTTTCTGAAAGAGACAAATTCAATATGATGTACACTCTACTTCCTAGACGGAAGTTAGGTTTCGATGGCAATCGTCTTAATGCCCTAATCCACGAAGCTCCTAGGAAACGAATAAAGGATTAGCCATACTGATGAGCTGTGGAAAATTGTCAATGGCTCGAAATCTGTAATCGATAGGAAATCTCCAAGAGTTTGGTGCTTGGGTTTCGTATACTTTGAGTAAGGACAAAATGAGTTAGCATTCAAATGTGCCTCCCACTCAATTAGCCCGATATCGACCTCAGCTATCCTTCGAAGCAGATGAGTACTGGCGATACAAAATTTTGCTCATACATGAATATGAAACAAAGGAAAGAATGCCTAAGTTCCAACAAGTAAAGTACACCTCGAACTCCACGAAAGAGGGTTTCATTGTTGTCCATATGACACATCACTTTCTTCAAACTGTGCATAAGGTGAATTCAAATTACAAGCAACATCTGCAATCGCTTGGGCAGAAGAACAAATTGGTGTAATTTGAAGAAACCGAACGAAAACCTGCATGATTAAATGTCGAAAATTGAAAAGCCCGCGAACTTATAGGACAATCCAGCGTGTCCCTTGCCCGGCGACGACAAGGGAATAGGAACGTACTCCCTATGTAATAGAGGTGGCCGTTTGCTAAATTCAACAAAGGGTAAATATTTCCCTGACGGAATTTTCTGCGAAATGAGAGCGAGAAGGAACATTTTGTGTTTGTATTCTCTGCTTGACTTGATCATGGCAAAACGCAAAGGAGAAAATACCTACACTTACAGTGGACACGTTTTAAAGACTGAACGTTTTGCATACAGTCAGAGAGAAGTCTGGGCCTCGGATGAGAACTGAGTCAATCGATTTATCAATCTGGCGCCGGCATACATCGCGCTGCACAGGCATCTCCGGAATGATGGCACTGGTGGTTGACTGTTCCTCCCCTCCCCCTCCCCCCATAATGGTTGCTTGGCCACTGCGTCCTATAACTGTTGTTTGTCTTCCGTTTACGCCTTTTATCTCTGATGATGGACGCTTGAAAGAGTCCGAAAGCTCAGACAAGTAAAATTATGGTTCCGGTGATCGCAAAGCCTTTGACTTCTCTATATACACACATACCTGGGATGCGAAAATTTGCCTCAATTCGTGAGAAAGAAGCTCGTTCAAAAGCCGGCATCTTGAACTGACTGAAATATTGTTGGGCCTATGCTGCACGACAACCGGGATTCCAACCCTACTTAAGTAATCCTTACTACTTGAAAACAACTTTAGGTAAAAGTCAAGTTGGCCGCTCACCTCAGCTGCCCCTAGTCCTGCGGTTTTTTTTCAATTTTAGTAGGTTGCTTAGATTTATTTTATTTTAGTTAGCTATCGTTAACGTAAGAGAAATATACTTAAATAACTACTAGACACTAAACTAAGCTAAACTAAACAAAACTAAACCACTACCACTGGTCCCGTAACACGGAATTCTGGGACTAGGGGTATCTAAGGTGGACGACCAAATTAACCTTTACTCAATTTTAGAACACATGAGATGATATGTGTATCACAGAAGGGCAACAGTAGCTTATGTAGGCCCACTGACTAATCCCTACTCCCTGGATGTTTTCTTACGAAAACGGTGGTTATAGCGTTTTATGGGTGAGAAATTAGGACATGCAGTGGAATATACTTTAATAAATGCTAGATACATTTTTATTTTACTCTATTTAGAAGTGTTGTTGATTTATATCTGTAGATTTTCCTAATCTGTATTATCGCTTAACTTATTGCGGGAAAACCCGATTATCAAACTGTAAGTTTCTTGAATTTCCCGAAAAATTGAAATGGTGCTGAGGAGGTCGTCTACTTCAACTTACATGAGGTCCAACTTACCGTTCTGAAGTTAGATTAGTATAGTCCGCTGCGCGAATCGCCGCGCACATCGCAACTTTACATGCGGAACAACTTACTCCCACCGACTGCGGGAAGCAAATTCGACTACATTTTTTCACTTTGAACTTCTAAAAATTTCCTTCTCTGCTACTGAACGTTTGATTCAACTCTTGGAATTCAGACAGCACTTCAGGATCCTTCCTGCTCCGATGCAGACCTGCACTCGTCCAAGTCCAATTTCCTCCTACCTATTCTTCAACTCGTCTGTACAGAACACAGTATCCCTACTACTCTGGCCTTATCATGACTTCTCACTACTCCCAACAAACTGGGCCTGGGAGTTAACTTTCTTAGCCTTAACACACCTCAATACCCTCAGTCTGTTTGTAACACTTTTTATCCACTTGATAGAAATTAAGCATTTATGAAGCCTGACGGATTGGAATTGCGACAAGGTCACATAGTAAGCCTTGATTGACGTTCTCAGCTGCAGGTAAGGTTGTATTGAGCAAAACCCATGAGATGATATGTGTATTACAGAAGTTGCATGATTCCTCGCAGCTGTGTCATACAGGGTGTTTTTAGCCAGTGACCGAGTTGGAAGTACAGCGGGAAACAATTGCTTGAGCG